GGGTCGGGGAGGAATGGTGGCGCGCGCTCGCCGATCCGCTGAAGGTCCTGGTGTGTGTCTGCGGGGAGCTGAGTGCTCTTTCCTCTCTGCAGCTCTGTCCAAGGGCAGCAAGCCCGTCCACACCATCCTCCTGAACCCGCACGTGCACCTGCTGGGCGAGGACGCGGCCTGCATCGCCTACATCCGGCTCACCCAGTACACGGACGGCGGCGGGAGGCCCAGGACCATGCAGTCGGAGGAGACGCGCGTGTGGCACCGCCGGGACGGGAAGTGGCAGAACGTGCACTTCCATCGCTCGGGGTCCCCCACGGTGCCCACCAAGTAAGTGTCCCCCATGGTGCCCACTGAGTAAGTGTCCCCCACGGTGCCCACTCCCCCACGGTGCCCACTCTCCCGCAGTGCCCACCAAGTAAGTGTCCCCCGCAGTGTCCACTCCCCCACGGTGCCCACTCTCCCGTGGTGCCCACCAAGTAAGTGTCCCCCGCAGTGTCCACTCCCCCGCGGTGCCCACTCCCGCGGTGCCCACCAAGTCAGTGTCCCCTGCGGTGCCCACTCCCCCGCGGTGCCCACTCTCCCGCGGTGTCCACTGAGTGTCCCCCACGGTGCCCACCGAGTAAGTGTCCCCCACGGTGCCCATCGAGTAAGTGTCCCCCGCAGTGCCCATCGAGTAAGTGTCCCGGCCGCCAGGCGGTCACTCGGCCACTGCTCCTGGAGGGTGTCACACGTGGGAGTGGGCGTGTCCCGGGAGACAGTCACCATGCGTCCTGTGTGGGCTGACTGCTGCAGTGTCTCCCTGTAGGGCCAGGTGGGAACTAGGGCCCATCTCAGGCTGGGCTGTCAGCACCAATCAGGGTCCGTGTCTGACTTCGCTGTCACACAGGCAGTGGGAGGGCCGAGGGGGGAGCATTGGGGGGTTTCCAAAGTGTCGGTGTGATCTCAAGAGCCTCAGCCCCCAGTCCACACCCCCCGCCCCCGGCTGGTCACAGTCTTCAGGGACATTTATAAAACACAGCACTTCTTACTTTATTTTAATCTCTTATTTATTAAGTTGATTGGGGTGACAGTCCACAAGAGCATACAGGATTCAGGTGTGGGTTTCTGTGTGACAGGATCGGTGCAGTGCACCGTGTGCCCACCACCCAAAGTCACACCTTCTCCTGTCACCTCATGTTAGGCCCCTGCTCTCCCAGCCTCTTCCCTCTGGCAGCCACCACACTGTTCGTGCTGTTTATGTTCCTGAGTTTCAGTTTTGTCACCCACGTATGAGTAAAGTCGTATGGTTCTTAGCTTTTTCTGGCTGACTTATTTCACTGAGCATAATGTTCTCAATGTCCATCCATGGCATTATTTCGTCCTTTCTTACGGCTGAGTAGTGTTCCATTGTGTTAATTTGCATATCTCACTGATTAGCCAATGGGAAGGGTAGCAAAGTTATGGTTAATTACCATGTTTCTCTATTATTAGATAGGACCAGAGGCCCGGTGCACAAAAATTTGTGCACTGGCAGGGGATGTCCCTCAGCCCCACTTGTGCCCTCTCGCAGTCTGGGACCCCTCGGGAGATAACGACCTGCTGGCTAGGCCTGCTCCCGGGGGATTGGGTCTAAGATGGCAATCAGACATCCCTCTGGCAGCCCGGCAGCGCTTGGGGGATGTCCACTTGCCAGCGGGGAGCAGGCCTAAACTGCAGTCGGACATCCTTAACACTGCTGAGGAGGCAGGAGAGGCTCCACCACCACTGGTGTACT